CCGTGGTTAACACACCCAGGAAAATATTCCTTTAAAATCGAAGAAGAAATAAGGAGATTTCATGAAATGTAAATAAAACAGATCAACATACATACAAATACTAAACCTGTGCTCCAGAAAATACTGAAGAATATCCTATACAGAAATGACGAAACCAGTAAAGCTAAAAACCCAGATGGAATAAACACACAAAGGTCAATGGATTAAAAAAAAACAACAACAAATGACCAGAAAAGAAAAACAAAGCAGTCACCAACAGAGCAAGAAGGAAATGATAGTAAACAATCAGCACACCTCAGTAATATCTTTCAATATTAATGGCCTCAACTCTCCAATTAAAAAAACACAGGCTGGCAGATTGGTTCAAAAAAACAGAATCCAAAAGTCTGCTGCATTCAAGAAACTTATCTAATTAAAAAAGATATTCATATATTAAACACCAAGGATGTAAAACATAATCCATGCACCAGGATGATGTAAATAATCACGTACAGCAATTTTAACTTCAGATAAGGTTAAGCTAAAACTGATTAAAAGAAGCAAAGAAAATCACTGTATAATAGTTAATGGAATAATTCAATAAGAAGAGACAATGCTAAGTATTTATGCAGCGGACACTAAAGCTCCTGGCTTCATAAAACAAATATTGCTGAATGAAAAAGATCAAATAATAATAGCAGTAATTTTATTTATTTATTTTTTGTACTGGGGATTGAATTTGGGTCCTTGTGATTGGAGGGCAGGTGGGGAACCACTGAGCTAAATCCCCACCCAGTAATAGTAAATTTTAACACCTCCCTCTCACAAAGAGATCAGCGATAAGGTTCTTGTCTAGGTGACTCCCCAAAGCCTCATAGCCACATTGTAGCCAACCCAGCCTCAGGTCCCTGTCCTGTGCCTGTTCAGGGTGCCAACTGTAGGCGACGCTCGCTCCCAAGCCCCATACTTGGGCACCACCTATATAGAGCCAAAGCTCCCAGCCTGCCTTGCTCTGGGAGGGACCTAGACCCACTACTTTGTTCTCCCTGAGTCGGGGGAATAAGGATGAACCGCGGAGAGACAAAGAGTCAGCTTAATATTTGGGCAGCCCGGGGGCTGTGCCTCCAGCAGGAAGAGGAGCCCCAAGCTTTGCCTCACCTCGCTTTTATTCCCACAACAGGGCACAAGAAGTCCAAGTAACACAGGATTCATCTGCTTTCTGATACCCATTAGTACATCTCTGGGAAACAACTTATCCTCAGCAGTCTTCTCTTTTCCATAATATGCAATCACCCTTGAGCGCAGCCTGTCTCCTTTGTGCCCACAAAGGAGGCCAATTAGGCTTTAATTCTCCTCTGGCAGCGGGTGTGAATGTAGATTAAGGCTGTGTGAATATGAATTATGGGCGTGATAATTGGATTAAAGCACTGATTAGTTTAGCGTTGTTCTCTGGCTGGGTAATGGGAAGCCATTGGCACCAACAATTAGGCTTGTGTCCTGGATGGGATATAAAGAGAAAAGCAAAGGCAGGTTTATCACTTCATACCTACCCTACCCAAGACTCTTTCTCCTCTGCCATGCAATACCATGCTATCCTAAGTGCAAGCCAGCCAACTATGGACTGAAAACTCTACACACTGAAATAAACCATTCCTCCTTCAGTTTATAGATGGTGGATAATTAGTCTCAGCAATGACAAAAGTAATTAATACAGATTTTGGTAATAGGAGTTGGGACGTTGCTGTGAGGCTACATGGCCGTGTGGTTCAGAAGCCTTTGGAACTGGCTTGTGAGAAGAGTCTGGAAAGATTTGGAGATGCTGGATGAAGAAGCAGCCCTGCAGTGCTTTAACAAAAACTTGATGAAAGATTCTGGACAAAGCTCAAAGAACCAGAAGGCTGATAGAAATGCACCTGGTAATGTTCAGGCTCAGGAGGCTTCAGTTAGAACAAGGGCCTCGCTGGCTGTTGGACACCAGACAATGTGTGATATCCTTCAGCAGAAAAGTTGTCTACATTTTGCTCACACCCAGAGAGTTTCCTGTAACTAAGATTAATGGAAGTGGACTAATTAATTGGGTGGAAGAAATTTCAAAGCTGTCCAATGTTGAGATAGTGGCATGGCTACTAGTTGGGGGCAGTTAGCCAGATTATGTTGAGAATCCAAAACAAACAGTCCAGCAGTATGACTGAAAAAGTTTTGAGTTTGGACAGAAAGGAAACTTCAGTAGTACTGTGAATTGCAAATATGGAGCAGAGGAGAACATAATTTCTGAAACTACGGGCATTAAAAAGCCAGGGATGTTGGAACTGTTTGTAGAAAGAATGACCTGAGAACAGCACAAAACCCAGCAGCCTTGCTAGGCGGAATGGCGCACGCCTATAATCCCAGCACTCGGGAGGCTGAGGCAGGAGGATCGCTGTGAGTTCGAGACCAGGCTGGGCTACCTAGTGAGTTCCAGGTCAGTCTCAACTACATAAGACCCTGTCTCAAAAAAACAAGACAAAGGTGAAGGGAGGGCACAGACAAGGGGAAAAACATGAGAACCAAGACCTACCTCATGTAAAGGTACAAGATCCCAATAATAAATATAACTGTACTGTATACCTAAAATGTACCAATAAACTCAATAAAAGAAAAAAACAAAACAAAACAGCAGCCTCATAATTGACTAGGTGAAAGAATTTGCATGGAGAAGAGGCCCTGGGGCAACATGTTGCACAATGGTGGTGGCCAAGAGAATTTGTTCCTTCAGACTGAGTTCACAGTGCTAAGCAATTCAGGCACTCAACCCCCACAGTCAAAAGAGAAGGAAGCCTGGCTACTTCGCCAGGTAGAGGCAAATCTTGAGATGATCCACAGGGTGTGGTTTTAGGTGTGTGCAGAATGAAAGAGCCAGTAGGGTGGGGAAAACTTCCACCCAGACTTCAAAAGAAAGGCCTGAGGGGCAGTGAAAGACGCCGTAAGTGTGAAGCTAAAAGCGCAGAAGAAACCCTTGAAGGTTGGAGAAGCCAGGAACTCGGATCATCTGAGGAAAGCTGCAAGGAGTAAGCAAAGATGGCCCAAGACAGAGGCCATGGGGGTTACAAACACTGGCAGTGCAACAGGAGCGGTGCCAATCCAGCCTCAGAGACCACAGTCTCGCTGTAGATTGCCACAGATGCTGGATATAGAAATAGAGGAGGTAACATTTGGTCTGCTGTACTTTGGTCTGTTTTGGTCCCATTCCATTCTATTTCCCTATTTGGAATGGGAATGTTTATCTTGCGGCACTGTATGTTGGAAGTGTTTAACTTTCTTTTCTGTAGTAAAGGGACCTGCAGCTAAGAATTTGCCTTACATCTCGGAGAAGACTTCGCATTTGGTCTTTTCAGTAACGCTGAAACTGTCAGGACTTTGGCAACTCTTAGAGATAGGTTAAATGCCTTTTATATAAAGGGATGCACGTGAGTGTTTTGGAGGCCAGAGGTGGAATGTTATGACTTGAATCTAGATGTGCTGCCTAAGCCTCACAGGCTCAGAGATTGGCCTTTTCAGAGCTGGCTGCATCTAGGGTGTGTAAGTGTAGATTAAGGGTGTGTAAATAAAGATTAACAGTGTGATAACTGGATAGTTCACTGAATGGTTTAGCATTCTACTGGGGGTGGGTAACAGAAAGCCCCACCCAGGGTGTGGGTAGTACCAACCAATAGGCTTGCAGCCTGGATGGAATTAATAGGGAAAAGTGTGCGATAAAAAGGTAAGACAGGTGTGAAATTTAGGTGAATGTGCCAACTTGAGTAAGAAATGACAACCTAATTTGGATTAGCATTGTTCTGAGTGTGCTGAGGGGATGTTCAGAAGACAGAAGACCTACCTTGGGGTGGCTTGTCACCTGAATGGTATAAAGGGGAAACAAAGAAGGAAGACATGTTTATGTTTCCCTGGCAGAGCTCCAGTCTTTGCCTTCACCTTGGACATCATCTCCTGGTTTCCAGTGCAGACTCTTCAGTCTCCAGCACCGATTCTTCAGCATCCCGGCACAGACTCGATAGCCTTCCATTGCAGACTCTTCAGCATCCGCATACAAACTCACACAAGACAATACACCTAGCTCCAGGCCTTCCAACTAGATACTTTGGAACTGGAGCACACGGGCAGATCTTTTGCATTCATCCACACTTAAATCTGTGGGTGGCCTCTGTAAGCCAATCTTGTAAATTCTTATATATATATATTTGTATATCTTGCTTTAAATCTGTTTCTCTAGTAAACCTTGATTGTCACAGCAGGCTTACTGCTTCCGGCCTGGCCTGCCTTGGAATGTTTCTCCTCTGCCATGCCTCTCTGCCATGCAGCCCTCTCTGCCTGGAAGCCGGCCAACTATGGACTGAAAACTCTGTGAATCATGAGTTGAAATAAACCCTTTAGCTTGTGAGTGTTCGGTATTTTGTCTCAGCAATGTAAAAAGTAAGCAAGACAATTAAAAATAGGAATAAAGAAATATGAGCACTGAATCACATCCTTTAACATATGGACTTAATAGCTATTTATAGAGTATTCCGCCCTATAGTAGCAGAATATACATTCCGTTCTGCAGCAAGTTGTACTTACTCCAAAAAAGAATACAAGACATACAAGTCCACAAAGCCTGCTTAAATAAAAAGAAAGAACTGAAAGCACCTCATGTGTACTATCAAACCCAAATGAGTGTGAAATGAAAATGGAAATCAATGACAGGAGAAATCATGGAAAATACAGAAGACTCCAAGAGAGGGTGATTGGCTGGTAGCCATCTTGGAGAGGGGCCCACTGAGCTTGGAACCCAGAACAGCTAAGGCCAACCCCATCTAGCGGCCTCCAGTGCTTCAGTGGAAGTGCTGAGCTCAAATCAGCAGGAGGTGAGGGAGTGGAGTCCAAGCTGGCAAGAGGCACAAATATTTGTAGGCTCAAGGAATCCAGTTCAAGCCTCATAGCCAGAAGCTTGCCTGAACTTCAGAGGAACTAAAGGGACAGGCTGGCTGGGATTATCCATTACCCACCTTGAAATTGTGGCTGGCTGGTTTGGATGAATCATTCTGGCTCTGGGCTCCATTTGCCTGTGTTGCCTACCAGGCACATCAGAAACACACCTTGAACTGGATGGAGTTTTTTCCCCTCTCCTTTTTCCTTTTCTTTTTTTCCTCCTTTCTTCCGATGGGCACAGGAGAAAAACAATAGCATGCAAAAGCATCCCGAATATCGTGTCTGTCATTCTGTCATCTCGTGGTACTCAGCAGGCTGTGGTTAATATGAGAGAAATGGGTGTGGGTAAATGAATTGGAAAACACTGCACGTCCACATGGGACTGGAATTGTTGACCACACCTCTCCGGAGGATCAAGGCAACCATTTTTAAAAGTTTCCAGTTATGTCTTCAATAGTGACATTACTCTTTTAAGATAGCAAATCCCTTCTCCCATACCGCAAACTGGATGAAGTCTAAACTTCGTAAACCTGACACCAAATGCCTCTAACTTGTCTTCATAACCTCCAAACAACTGCGTTTCCTTTCATGATCATACGAGTTATTAAACTAGTTCATTTCTGCTCAGTATAACCCTCCTGACTCTACATTTGCACGTGCTACGCTCCCCATGCACAGGATCCTCTACTCTCACCCTCACCTGCCTCCCACTCATTTTAAGGTCTGACTACACGATGTGAGGGCCATCTGGCTGCGACATCTGTCACCCCAGTGATCGCCAGGGTTGATTCAGCTGATCTGACTGGCTGTGGGCGTGTCCTCTTCCTCCCTCACTGCTCTATGTGTGGCGCTCCAGAAGCTGTATGCTGTGTGGAAGATTGTGGGAATCATGATTATCAGTTGCAAGTATTGTTAGCTTTAGTAACTCCATCTTGTTAAGTTCATCTATTTTGTAAGTATAATTTTCCTCTTTTGTGCTTAGACTGCAGTTCCTTATCTTTACATAGTCCAGATGTTAACTGACCTTGTAGTTGCCTTGGTAACTCTTACCCATGAACTCTGTATGAACTCTCTTTTCTTTAGAGTAGGTGATAAGGTTACTATAGTAACCCTAGCCCATAATAGTTAGTGGGTTTTTGCTTTAAAAGTCTGATGCTTGCTTGCAATAAACGTCGCCTTGATCAGACTCTTGTGTTGGCGTCCTTCCTTTCTCTCTGCCCCATCTCCACCCCGCTGCTCTTTCAGGTTTGAGACACTGCTGGACAGTGCTCTGCGTCGCCGGCTCTCGACAGAAGAGGACGACCACCCCCCATAGAAGAGGATCCTTTCCTCGCCCAGGGGTATACAAGTAGCTGTGCTCTCCTGCTACAGCCTCCCAACGGCTCTCAGGATCTGACTACAGTCCTGCCATTCATGAACATCATGCGCCTTGTGATCTTGCTTTCATGTGAGTTACTATGGTGTCACTGTGAATATCTCACACTTTGATCTTCACAGACACTGTTTGGTATTATTGCACTGTTACTGAGCTTTGCCATAGGTCTTCCTTCCCAACAGTATTCCAATTCCTTTTGGGGGGGTACCAGGGATTGGACTTGGGTCCTTGTGCTTGCAAGGCAGGCCACCGAACCGCTGAGCTAAATCCCCAGCCCTCCAATTCCTTAGAGAACAAACTTTACATTCTCTCTTCACAGATACTGTATATTACATTATTGTACTGTTAGTTTCTGAGCTGTATCAGAAATCTTGCTTTCACAACACTACCCCAGGTCTTTGGAGATCAAAGTTTAAATTCATTATCTGCCAGTGTGCCTTGAAGTTCCTAGCACATAGTAAGAGTTCAGCCAATATTTATTTCTTGAATAAACTGACAGTGCCTAGCAATGCTCTCCTTTATTCCTCCCTGCCTAGTCTGTACTTTGGTGTGGTGGTACCCTGACTGTCCTGAACTATGTAAATGAAGAATTCAGTCAACAAGAGCTGCCTATATGTGGTGGCTATAGAAGGATAGATACATATAAATGTTTTCATTTTCCTATTCGTTCATAGCCTCTTCATGAACAGCAATTCAACTTTACCCTTCCAACAATAATCCAGGGATGGGTTAGGCTGGAATTTTCATCCCCCCGGCCACATACAAGGAAACTGAAGGATCAGTGTTTCTCGAAAGCCACAGAACAGGGATAAGGCCAGGATCAAAATGACTAGATCCTCTGATTCCCAACCTGAGGCTTCTTTGGGTCTTAGAGGAACTAAATAAGACACAATAATAAATGAATATATAACAAACTGGAAATGGCAATATGGAAGGCATCTGGTAGAAAAATAAATGGTGAAATGAAATAATTAAATCAGGGGGAAGATCCATCAAACAAAAAAAATAAGTAGGGAAGGGACACTAGGGAATATTTCTTTGTACAGCATTTAAGCAGTATAAGGAACCTCGAAGTAACGAATGGGCCTTAGCTGATATTCCTCCATTACCTACAGTTTGAAGTTATCGATTTAAGCAAAATTCCAGTGAGGAAAAAAAAATCTCGCTTTCCTTTGATACTTAAGCATCTCCTGCTAATGCTATGGGAACATGCTCTTTAATTAAACAAGTAGGGATCAAAGGAAGTTACTGAACATCGCAAAGAAATTCCATGCCACCCTGAAGGTTCCTTCCTAGACGCTTTCATCTTCCTGCGTTTGATTCCTAAGCGCGCAGGAAGTAGCTGTGTTCGTAGCATTTTGTATTCTCAGTTAGAGTTCTGTTCGCATCATCACTTCCCAAAGGGGCCCTCACGGAGCCTCCAGCCTTCACCAACTGTGTACGCCTCTCCTCCCGCTCCCCTCTCCCCGCCTTCTCAGACGTCCCGTCTAATCCCCGTGTTCCAGGTGTGTTCTTCTACCTGAGTTCTGCCGTCAACCCTGTCATCTATAACCTGCTGTCTCGCCGCTTCCAGGCGGCTTTCCGGAACGTGATCTCTCTTCCCTGCCAAAGCTGCTGCCCCCAGGGTCACTCACGAGGGCCCCCCGCCCAGCGGAACATCATCCTCACCGAATGCCACCTGGAGGAGCTCAGTGAAGAGCCAGGTCCCCAGTTCCCCGGCCAGTCGTCCGTCTGCAGTGCGCCCCTGTCCACTGCCCTCTGCACCGAGCAGGCCCCGCGGAAGAGGCCGTCCCGTTGGCAAGGACCGAATTCCTCGCTGCCTCCTGCCTGCTCTCTAGTTCCTAAAGACGACGAGCCTGGCGAAGCACAGGGCCCCTCTGGAGGGCAGTTTCCCCTCTGAGGAGACTGGGCCCGGGTCATCCACAGGCTGAGTCAGGCTATCAGTCGGACAACCAGAGGCCACGGGCAGTCACAGGAGGAAGAGGCGTCGGTGCCGGTCTGCTCTTCGTGATTGGAGAAGTCCACGTCAGGGCTCCTTGGCAGCAATCTGTTTGCCCTACTGGCCCATCCTTACAACGCGACACGACTTCTTACGGTGTCCTGAGCCTTTTACCTTAAAAGCCCCCCTGACAGCTTGGGGGATTATTACCCCCCACTCCTCCAGTCTCCAATGGCATCAGCAGTGGCTCCTCACCGGGAATGGGATCAGACAGAATTTCAACTTAGAGAAGAATAGGAACGAAGGAAGAGAGAATGCCAAGGTGGCAGGCTGAAAGAGACACAAACTACACCAAGCAAAAACCTAGCCATTTTCATAACTGGGTCCAGACATGGACTTACAATATCTAACTTATAAATTACATCACTGCATATGAATCTCTAGTCAGTGAAGATTAAGTGGAAAAGACTCAGCAGAACAAATCCCCAGAACTGGGGGAAATATCAATCTCTTTCACGCCTTTACAGGGGAAACATTTTGAGAAAGAACCTAGTAGAGTCATTATCCTTAAGGTCAATCCCCAGTGACCAGGAATAAAAGTGCCCCCACTGTTAGGGGATGGATACAAAAAGATCCAACACTCAAGGTGCAACTAGTAATTGTGTTGCTCGACTAATATTTTAGTTGCATTTTTGGTTGCTCCTCACTTATTTTTTTCTCTCAAAATTTGTTATTCACTCATTAATTCCACCAATCAACAAATCTCCAGTGATGAGTAGGTTCTATGCATCGTGCCAGGACAAAAATTTCCTTGCCTTGCAAGTTTACATGGAGCAAAAAGTAAAACTGTCTTTGAAAAAAAAAATCACTGGGCCGGGGATTTAGCTCAGTGGTTCGGTGGCCTGCCTTGCAAGCACAAGGACCCAAGTTCAATCCCCGGTACAAAAAAAAAAAAAAAAAAAAAC